AAGCGGAAAGCTGAAAAGGTCGATGCGCCTTGGGAAAGGGAAACTATGAAGGCGAGCAAACAGCATGAAGAAGGACCTTTTGGACGGCCTGGCTCCTAAACGCCCCTGAAGTATAGAAGCTCTCCTGAAGCTCATAGGAAGCATGGAACTTGTGTCTCAAAAGCATCAGCCGCCCTCGCAGGTCTTGGACTTGGTCGCTTGAACCACCATGTGCGCGGGAAACTTGGTGAGTGCCCGAGTCCAACTTGGATGGCAGAGGGTGAATGTTGACCATTGCTCAAATCATCCCAGTGAGTCCATGTTTTAAGCATGTTGTCTGAGAGGACTACACACGTCATGCGCACCCGAACATCGTTCCCTCGTTCTGGTCAGTGTGGTTGAAAGTCGATTGCATCTCAAGTCAAACATGTAGAAAAAGTAGAAAAATTGGACATTGCTCACAAATTCAGCTCGGTTGTAACCATGCACCTCTGCCATTGGGTGTCTTGTTTCCTAACCTCCAGGCCGAAGCTGTCAATGGCCTAATGGTATCTCGGTGAGCGTGATCCATGTCATCCCCTTTACTACAGACGATGCTAAACTGCTAAATGTGGACTGTTGCTCATGTAACTTCTGATTAAAGACCCTTCGGTGGACATCATTTACATCGGAATGTACGTGTGCCAACATCTTTGAAGGGGCTGCAGTGTTAAAAACTGACGTCCGGCGCCAGTCTAACGGCTCTCAAGCGGCGGTGAGAAAACTAAGCCAGAGTCACCATGTCGGACCTGATAAGCAAGCGAATATACACGAAACAGGTGTGTGCGTGTGTATACATGTATATATATATATACATATATATATGTATATGTATATATATATATTTCTATATTTCACACATATACATACATCTACAATTCGGATCTTATCCAAATGATTGAACCCACCCCAAAAGGAAAGATGTCCTTTGGCCGCCCTTTAAACCCATCCCAAAAAGGGGTGCCAGCGGAAAAGACGGGACTCCTTATATGTGCCCTTTTTGACATCACCCCACCATTGGACAATTCGAGCAAAATTGAATCCTCAAAAGTGCCTGTTTAAACCACTCGCGAAAAAAGGATCCGCACCCCCCGAGATCAACGAAGCACAATTCGCGCCTCACACAGGCAAGTGCCTGACATGGCCTGACGCGAAAAACCGCACCGCGCGCGGCGGCTCTGAGCCGAAATTCAGGTGAGCGGCGCAGCGCATCTCGATTCGCGCGTAGCATGAGAGGGTATGCTTCAAAATAGGGAGACCAACCACCTTGTGATTTTTGTGGCTGGTTTCCCTCTAAACAAGCCTGCAAAGGGTAAAACAAAACACACCACAAGAGGGTGTTCAGAAGTGAAGCATCCCCTGGTTTCTTTGATGCTTGTGTACTATGTCTGGACCTGGTAAGTTTCCCCGTGTTGAGTCAAATTAAGCCGCAGGATCCACTCCTGGTCTGGCGGCGCCCTTCCGTCAATTCCTTCAAGTTTCAGCCTTGCGACCATACTCCCCCCGGAACCCGAAGACTTTGATTTCTCGTAAGGTGCTGAAGGGGTCGTGCAATTAACGACGGGGAACCCTTTTTTCTCACCCTCCAAACCTTTTTTTTCAACCCTTCCCTGTTTTTTCAACCCTTCACCCTTTCAATTTAACCCTCCCCCCGTCTTTTTTAACCCTCCCCCCTTTCTTTCTGACCCTCCACCTCTTCCTTTCAACCCTCCATTTCTTTTTTGCCAACCCTGTGGCCGACGCCTGCGGCAACTGCACTAAGTAACGGTTTAGGGTTGGGTTGGTTTCGGAATGGTTTTGGATTTAGGGTTGGTTTAGGGTGGTGGGTTTAGGGTTGGTTTCGGATGGGAAGGGTGGGTTTACGGTTTTGTGTTAGGGTCGGCTTTGTGTTGGTTTAGGTTGGGCGACCTCAGATGTAAGGCTAGTTTGGGGTAGGACTAGGTTTGTGTAGGAAGGGTTTAGAGGCGGGGTAGGGTTTGTTGAGGGTGGGTTTAGGGTTGGTTTGGGATGGAAAGGGCAAGTTTGTGGTCGGTTTAAGTTTAAGGTTGGTTTCGAGCAGGTCTGCTGGGTATATGGTGGGTTCAAAGTTGGATGAGGGTGGGTTTTTGGCTTTGGAGAATGGGTCTAGTGGGTTTATGATTGGTTTAGGGTTGGTTTAGGATGGATTTAGGGTTGGCTATGGGTGAGTTTAGAATGGGTTTAGGGTGAGGTCAGGGTTGGGATAAAGGTTGGATTTACTTAGGGTGGGATTAGGGCTCGTGTCGAAAGGCTTCAGGGTGTATTTTGGGTGGATTTAGTGTTGGCTTTTGGGGCCGGCTTCGGGTTGGATTAGGTTGACTTAGAGCAAGATTTTCGGTGGGTTTGTGCTTGGTTTAGGTAATCTAGAGTAGGTCTGTGGTGGCTGTAGGGTTAGCTTAGGGTTGGTGTAGGGTTGGTTCAGGGCGGGTTTGCGGTTTGTCTATGTCTAGGGTGGCGTTGGGGTTGCGCTAGGGCAGGCTTGGGGTTGCTCAAGGGTGACTTAGGGTTGATTTGGGGTGGCTTGATTTCAGGTGGGCTTAGGGTTTTTAAGGGTATGTTGTTCGTTTGTTTTGGGTTGGATGTAGGTTGGTTCAGGGTTGGTCTGGGATGGTTTAGGGTGGGGTTTGCGGTTGGTTTCGGCTTGAATGTGGATTGGTTTTGCGGTTGGCCTAGGGTTGGCTTCTCTGGGTTTAGGGTTGGGTCAAGCTCAGCTTAGAGTCTCAGGGTGTGCTTAGAGTTGGATCAGGGTGGATTCATGGTTGATACAGGGTGAGCTTATGGTTGGTTTAAGGTTGGTTTGGAGTAGCTCAGGGTTGGTTAGGGTTGGTGTAGGGCTGGCCCAGGTTGGTTTTTGAGTTTAGTGTGGGTTGCTTTTGGGTGAGTTCAGGGTGGGGGCAAGGTTGGTTTAGGGTTGGTTTTTGCTGGGCTTGACTTTAAGGTTGGTTTTCGGGGTGGTTTGGGATTGGTTAAAGCTGGGTTTAGGGCGGGTTTAGGATTGGGTTAGGATTGGCTTAGGGTCGTTTTAGGGTTGAGAGTTGGTTTTGGGTCGGTGGGTCTGTTCAGGGTTGGTTTAGGTTGGGCTTGGGGTTGCGTTAAAGCTAGATTAGGGTGGGATTGGGGTTTAGCTGGGTTTAGGGTGGGTTTATTGAACGTCTGGAACGAGTCAGTTACGCAAGGTCGCTTGTTCCGGACCTCTGGGAGTACATGCGTGGAGTCCTCAAGCACACGTTCATTTAGTGTAAGATGGATAGATGGATGGATGAAACGACTAGGGGCTCGCCGCCATCGTTGCCACCCTCGCGTCATTGGGACACCGATGCGCTGTAGTCACGCCCGCCACGCGCGCCAGCCGATGCACAAGGCTGGGAGGCGAAAGCCGATGTCCACCGATGCGCAAGCCGATGCAGGGTATCCTTCAAAGACTTCTTTGTCTCCAAAGCCCTGGCACATGTCGTCCTTGAAGGCTTCTTGGGTGGCGGGCCACGTAAGAAGCGCAGCTACTTACATGGCGCGTGTGTGTGCATGTGGGCTTGGTGGCAAATTGCTCCGCTGCGTCTGGAACACGTCTGGAACGGGTCTGGAACGGGGTCTGGAACGGTTACGCGAGCGGCTTGCACTTTGGAATGCTGGCAAGCCGCATGTAAACATGGTCGTTTCAACCGAGAACGGTATCGAACCGTTACCGTATCGTATCGAAAGCGGCGGAATTGTATCGCACCGAACCGAACCAAAGTTCCGGAACACCGATACTCCTTTCTTCATTTCTTTCTCCTTCTTTCTTGCTCCTTTGCTCCTTCTTTCTTGCTCCACGCCATTTCAGCCTTGGCCATTGCACTTGCACACCCGACAAAGAACGACCATCTGAATCAATACTCTAGAAATAAATATACATAAACAAGGTCTGGAACGGAAGGTCTGGAACATGTTTCTAGGCAAGGTCTGGAACGGAGGTCTGGAACGGAGGTCTGGATCGCATGTGGGTTCCGGACCCTGTTTCGGACCTTACAAATTGACTCGCAGCCACTTGGCTTGGGGTGGGTCAAGGGTTGGACAAGAGATGTTTCTGGTTTGCTTAGGGCTTGTTTAGATTGACTTAGAGTTTGGCTGGTTTGAGGGTTGGCAAGGTTTGGCTTAGGGCGGGCCTAGGGTTGGTTTGGGTTGGGTTGGGTGCAGGGCGGGCTTAGGTTGTTTTAGGTTTAGGGTGAGAAACACAAGGTTGCGGGGTGAAACAAGCAAGCTCGCGGGTGAAAAAAACAAGGCGGAGGGTGAACAAAAACAAGGCGGAGGGTGAAAAAAACAAGACAGAGGGTGAAAAAAACAAGGTGAGGGGTTGAAAAGAAAGGATTTCTCAGGGTTGGAGAAACAAGGTTCACGCAGACGGTTCCCAAGCAGGGTCTGAGGGTGGGAAAAAAAGGAAGGGTTAAAAAAACAACTTCGGAGGGTGAAAAAAAAAGGGAGCCCATTAACGACCTCCAATCTCTGGTTGGCATAGTTTATGACCCTGGAATCGCAGACAAAAACGCCTTACATTGCCAAGGTCTACAACTGTCCGATGCCGCCATTTTGTTCTAGGAAAATGACCGGCCAGGAACAACTTTCAAGGTGGGGGACCCTTTCAACGGGGCCCTGCCCTCAAAAAGTGCGTAAACCAACCGAGTAATGGCAAAGGGCCAACCCTGTAAGGCAACCCGACCAAACACCTTTCCTTGCTGGCTCTCAGCGAATGAGAACCTGAAAAAAGAGAACTGAACCAGCCTTACCCTCCCATTGGGTTTTACAAAAGCCCAATGTAGCCTATAGGTTCAAAAAAGAAACACAAAACAAGGCGTCTTTCTGGTCCTGTCAAAAAACTTTGGCACTGGGAGCAAACCATTGACCATTGATTGCCGAAATCCGTCTGGTTGAAACCGAGCCTTTCCCGGACCGCCGGCCGGGTACGTGGCAAAAAAAACCCAACTCGTCGCCTTCTCTTTGAGCGCCTCGCGGCTCTTGTACTCTGTCGCCGCCTGGCCTCAAACGAAAAGCCGCTGTGACTTGTGCAAAATGGGTCCTGTGGTGGACATTCCCTTGGGGCGTTGCTTTAAAACAACCAAGAAGGGACATTGTGCAACTACCAACTCAAAAAGCGCCAAACCCATATGAGCGTGGATTTGAATGAAGAAATTAAGTACACTTTCGTGGACATCGTTTAGGTTGAGGATCCCCTCTCCCCAAATAGCACAACTCCAAATGAATTCATCCTGGTCTCCCACCAAATGAAGTAATCCTGGTCTCCCACCAACACCCCGGCTCGCTCGCTCGGTACTCCTTGTAGGGGGGGGGGGGGGTCCCCTAAGAAAACACAGACCTAGTTCATCCAAGGCTTGTGGAACATTATGCTCTTCGTGGTCTTGCTTATGTGTCTTTTTTGTTGGGGGGGGTCCACGCCTTGTAAGCGGTTGTTCAAAAAGACCCTGAAGCCTTATTAACCTTACCAAGGCCTTATTGCGGGGATCCGGGGGCACTGGCTTTTCACGACAACCAGCCACACAGCCCGTACGGCTAGAAAAAAGGCAGCTTTGGAGCAAAACATTCGTCCGCCTGTTTCGTTGCCCCAGCGGGTCCCAACTTGGAGGAGTTCGTCTGAGAGGGGTCGGAGGCTCGGAGGTCTCTCGCATCGCTTGCCGAGGTCGCCCGGCACAACAGCATGTCGTAGTGCCGCATGGCAGCCTGGCTGGAGAGATGCCACAGCGCTCGAGCCTGTGGGTGTTTCTCAAAATAGGCAACCCCTAAAGATGGCGGGGTCCATATGGTTTCATTTAAACATGTGAAACAGGGGTTTGGGTATGTTTGGGTACCCTCCAAATGTTAAACGTCACCCTTCCCACCTCCGCCAAAGAGGAGTCAAAATTGATGTTGAACCAGCCAACAAGGACATGGAAGGAGTCCTGTTGTGTCTTGACATTGGGTCTTAGTAAGCAACCCCCCGGTTCCCTATTGCAATTGTGCGACGCCCATGTGTCATCAGTTTCTTCGACAAGGAAGTGCTGTTAAAACGGAAATCCCCAACCTGTCAAGACTCGAATCTATCATGTGCTTACAGAACGCCTGGTAGCTCCTTAGCTCCCTCTTTAAAGGCAAATTTAGATACCCAGCTCCTTAGCTCCCTTCCAACCACCAGCTAGCAAATGACAAAGAATATTGATCACGTTCATTTAGCTCCAGGAGAAGTTTCCGGCCGATCGTCACGCATCGCAGCCTGTGGCTCGAAATCAGCAGAGTTCTGATAATCACACACTTTCCGCACGTGCAAAGTTGACCCCATAAAAATCAACCCCCGGTTTATTAATAGGGCGTGTTGTTCCCTGGGTTTAGTGGGGAATCAGACCACTTTTGGAGGGGAACACCCCCATAATAATAAACTGGGGGTAATATGGGGTCAACATTACATGCATTTGCACTTGTATCCTGCTGCCAATCAAGGGAAATGTGTACAGGAAAGCAGGGCTTCCTGGATCCAATGCTACGGGGGCAACAAAGGAACCACCCTACCCTCTCAGAAACATGGTGACAAGCACCCTTTGCAACTCTCCCGTCCTTTTCAAAGGGATGTGGCACCCACATCCATACGGGCTGGGCCGTGGGAAAAATAGCAAAACGGCTGCATACGTCTAAATACGACCACCGGCCAGCACAACGGCCATGGAGAACATGTCAGATGCCGACAAGTCAATTTAGGTCCTTGTCCAAAGGGATGTCTCTTTGGTAGGGGACGCCATCCCCAAAAAAAAACAGTCCTGTTGGTGTCCCCTTTAAAACAACCACAAATAGGTACCCTCAAAGAAAAACAGACCCAAATGGGGACCGTTTTTACGTGGGCGGCTTTCCTTTTTTGTTTAACTCATACGGCTTCGCCCCTATATACAAAGCCCTCCATCACCTCAGGCGATCAGGCGGAGCCTGCCGCGCTTGCACGCCATGTTTTCTTCCCGACATGGCGCGCAAATTTGATTCGCCGTGCAAGCAAAAAGCGGTTCTGCTCCAGTTGCTGCATTACCCGGGCTTTTACTTCATGACTCTGTTCGTTCTGTGCTCAGTCTGAGAAAAAAAAGAAAAAAAACGGCCGTGGTTTTGTCGGTTCGATCCAAGGGCTGCAAAACATGGGGGCTTTCACACGTGGCTGCTTTGGCACATCTGCTGTGGGTACCTTTGGGTTACATGTTTTGACGCGCACAAGCTGGCTTGCCGTCTATGCAAGGAAGCTATGGCTTGAACCATGAAGCTCGGATGCGATCAAGGTTCCAAAGACCCCAGAGGTAGAAGCTTGGCCCCTTTTAGAAGGAAAACCAAGAGGAAACTAAAGGAAACCACGGGAAACCAGAGGAAACCACAGGAAACCAAAAGAACAATGACGGCAAACCAAATCAATCTCCCTGGCTTGATCATCTTTCAGGAACGGAATCTTGCTCCGCAAGCCTTCAAGGGAGCCTCCATCCGAACACGCAAGCAAATGGCAGGACCCAACTTGTTTCAGGGGAATGGACATCACCATACGGTGATTAAGTGACCTGCAGAGCCGCTTGCTACATCGGGCCTGGATACATCCGAAGAAGTATTCAGGGAGTGGAAAACACGATCTCCACCTGGATTCTTGCCGGACTCCTTTCACAGCCTTGGCATCACACCATTCTTCCTGAACAGCCATCAGCATGCACAAGTCACACGTGGAACAAACGCATGCAAACAAAACACATATCTAAATGGCTGATTTCCTTTTAGCCTCCGTTCAACCCCCAATCCAAAACAGGTCTCCTAGTAGTCTAGCACCCACCCGCCCACCCTCGACTCTTGACAGGTTGGCAACGCGATCGGGAATCATGGCGGAACTCTCACTCCCGGCCGAGAAAGCCCCTGACGCAGAGAAAACATTGCCAAGCGTCTCTTGCAAAAAATGTGTAAAAGAAAGGCGCTAGGACCAGCAGATAACCCTACAGGCTGTACAAAGTTGTGCCCCTACTTTTCGTGAGCATCACTCTCAATGTCACCAGCGTTGCAAGCTCAAACACGCCTGATCAATTCTTTTTCGGCCCGAATCCGGCCCGCATGCCAAACTTCGGCCTGCACCGGCGGACGCAGTACGTTCGGTACGAAGTTCATGGGCAGTAGGGCAACTGGGTTCAAGCCTTTGGGGTTGCCCAAAAATGGAGCCCGGATCAAGCCCCGAAGACGGAGCCCCTCGAGGGACTCAGCGTCACTGGCTCAGAGGGGCTGTGCCTGAGTTAAAGCCCCTGAAAAAACCTGAGCTGTTTGCTAGTTGAAAAGGGAATGAAGGGGAAAGGGCAAAAAACGAAGTTGAAGGTAAGATAAGCTTAGCAATGCTATCAGCTAAAGCCAGTAATGATCAGCTAATCAGCTAAAGCCAGTACTCCAAACAGCCTCAGAGACGGGGAACGACTTCTGGTGATACTGGTGTCGGGAGGAAGAAGTCATGTAATGACGAATGACGAATATACATATAAAGTTGTATATCCGACAACACGTTTGCAGGAGATATGATGCTTGTAAGCAAGTACCTCTTCGTTGCGTCGCACCCGTAATCAGTGACCTGGAAGATCTGCTCCACTCCGCGATGATGCTTGTGCCACCGTTGAGCGTAACGTCAAGCAATGGTGGCTCAGGGTGTGCTTAGAGGTGTGGAAAGTTGTCAAAAAATGACCGAGGAAAATTTGTTGGTCACCAAGCTGAATTTACCTCGCGCTGCCCTTTTAGATGTAGTTCATCTAGCCTTGGCATGACTCGACCCCATCTCTCTTCCTATACCACCACAGCGCGCTGCCAACTTAGCTAGGGAGGCATGCTATGCGACAAGGCTGCAAAGGCATACTTCCTCAGATTGCAAAAGATTCTCTAGATGGCCAGATGTACTACATCTAAAGGTGCAGCACAAGGTAAATCAAGGTTGGTGATGGAGATATCTTCCTTGCCCCCAAAAGCTCAAACCCGATTCTCAGGCCCCTGAGCAAAGGAAAAAGCGACCACACTTGGGCTGAGAGTTGCGGCTCGCATAGAACTAATTACGCTGGGCACTTTCAGTGGGAGTTGCTTTTTGGGTTGGAGCATTTGAAAATCTCAAATAATTCTATTTCTGGACCATTTGAGGGTCTAGCTTCTTGCAACGTAAAGTTTCTTAACGTAGGGCGAAGATACTGCCTTGTCGCTGTAAAGTCAAAAGCTTCCCGTCGCCCATCCGACGTCTTCAGACAAAGCGGTGGAAAAGATTTTCGCGGTGCTTTACTTCAGGCTCATTAAATGGTTGGACCACGCAGATGTTTCGAACGCTGGTTGTACTGCCACATCACACCTTGGGTATAACGGGAATGAATGTACATTCTCGAGAAATGGAAACACATATGCGCGCTGATGCACAGCGGCATGATCCATCCCATTCATCCAGTACTGATGCATCCATGATGATTTACCATTGTGCCACGTCAGGAGTCAGGCATCGGGTTGGCCTGGGCTTGCTGCTGCTGCTGCTGCTGGTGCTTCGTGGGCGCCCGCCATGGCGGGCGCCGAACCAACCTCCCATCATGATCATGTGATCACTATGAGAGAGCAGGGTGTCGCGCGTGGCTCGGAGGTGTGCGCTGGTGCGTGCGTGTGCATGAGGAGTGTGCGTGGGTGCGTGGGCATGTGTGAGAGAGAGAGAGGCGATTCCGGTGCCTAGTGGGACACTGCCAGCCTGTCTCGAAGCCTCGGAAAAACGCCCATATCTGCACATGGTTCGGAAAAAAGTGGGGGCCCGGAGCGGTAGCTCACTCCCACCATGCACGCACTCGGAGATCGACTCCGCTCCCGCCAACCTCCATCCTTGCCTTTGCCTTTGCCGAGACCTTTCCGTTGTCCTTTGCCTTGCCCGCCTTGACTTTGCCCTTCGGCGCCTTTCCCTTGGCCTTACCTTTCGCTTTGCCTCATTTCTTTCCCCTGCCCTTTGCGGGAGTTTCTCGCGGTCGCGGAAGATCCGCATTCCGTGGTCGGCCTCACCTCCTTCCAGCGTCGATGCCTGTCCCCGGCAGCTGATACCGCGCGAGAGGCGACCCAGAACCTACTGACACCTTTCACAAGCAGGGGGCAAATGGGCTGAGCGCGATAGACTCAGGAACGATCTGGCGGGGCAGATTTTTCGCGTGTTGATGACCGTTGCAGCGCCGTACTTCCGTGCGACGCGTCCAATCCGTGGGGTGTCCGGCTGCGGTAGCACCAGCAGAAGGCTGGTTTAGGTAGTCTACGCCACGTCGGACTTGGTCTAGCTGCCGCTGACTGGGCATTTTTACCGGCGTTCGAGGCTGGCTGATTATGGGTGTGTGCGTGCGGCTCTTAAGACAAAATGGCGAGGCGTGGAATCCGTGTTTCCTGACATTAGATGTGAGTGCGCGGTTGGGTCGAAGATCTTGGACAAGTCAAGCAAAACGGCCACAACCGGCGAGCCACCTGCAAGAGCATGCTCAAGCTCAACTGCAACATGCAAGTAGAGGTCAGCGATGCGACGAGACTCAACGCCGCCGTGGATGGACTGGGGAGCCGCCAAGTCTTTAGCCTGCAAGGACGCCTAAAGGCGGTAAACGCCGCAAGCAACGGATATTGGTCGCATGTCACTAGATTCATTGGCATGGAACTTAGGAGTTAAAATGACGAGGAAGTGAAGCATGTTGCCAAGGCACTTGCCTTGAGCCTCGAGAGCAGACAACATGTCTGCGAGCATTTGCCACGCTTCACCAAGCCATCACGGGTTGCCCCTGCAGCGTTGCAGAGGGTGGTAAAGGGGGAAGTCGCAGCACACCAGTACCTTTTGAAAACAGTGCCACAAAGCTTGCAAAGATCCTCCCACATTTTCTCCTGAATTGCGCTGTGGCCGCAAAGCATCCGCACGCACCGTAACCGAAAGAGTACCCAAGCTCTGCCTGCGCTTCTCCGCACACGACGGAAACACTGATTTCCCACACGCGCCAAGTCACCGCTGCGAAGCCTTACCGAGGAGAGGTGACCGCCCCCTTCCAGTCCGGCTTGGCGAACCAAGAGACCCGCATTGGCTAAGATAACGACCACTGCACGCTCCACGTTGTCGGCCAGGCTAGCCCCCGACAGTAGAGAAGGAGGGAGGACCCACGCCACCTCACGTTCAACGCAACATCCGGCACGTGCGCAAGTGTAAAAATCATAGCATGACCCCCACCCCACCCCGCCCCATATTCAACGTAATGTCCGACGCGTGCGCAAGTGGAAAGACCGTTTCCCCACCCCACCTGCGCAAGTCGAAAAAGCGTTAACATAACCCCGGCCCCACACCACCCCGCCCCCATGTTCAACTTAATGTCCGGCCCGTGCGCAGGTGAAAAGAACGTTGACATGACCCCCCGCCCCCCAACCGCAGCCCGCGTTTGCTTAACATGTGTTGCTGCCGTGATGCTGCAAAATGCACAGGCGCCCGACGCCGTGCTGCGGAACTCAAAGTGCCCCAACCCTCTGCCGGGCAACAAGTCCCCTTCCACTTGGTTGAGCGTCTCGTCAAAGTGATCCAAGCGGCACTTGAGCACAAAGTGCCACCGATGGGAATGGTCAAATAGACATGTGTGAGCTCGATGCTGCAGGAAAAGCTTTGCTCCAACACACAAGCTGTGTTGACTACAAACAGGCGGCTTGCAGAAATCGAGTTCGGACTTCCTTTTGAAACAAAGCTCAGACAGTGTGCCCTCAAAAATGAACACCCAAATTTTCTTGGATGGCGCAACGAGACCCAAAAGCCACCCAAACCTAGAGTAATTCACCCCCCAAACCTCTAAAACCCCCCAACAATGGAAAACAAAAAACATGTCAAACCCCAACCCCTCCCCCCCCACCACCAAACGACAATGCTTAAATTTCCGGGGGAGGGGGGGGGGGGCAAGATTCCCCCAAAACTCCCAGCAATCTTGGATCCAGCATCCCAATCCGGCATG